CTCGCTCACTGTCAGTTTTCCTTCCTTCCTTCCTACTTTTCCTCCCTTCCCCTTCCTTTTCCCCTCCCTCCCTCCTTTTCCTTCCTCTCCTCCTCCCTCCTTCCAACCTCTCTCACACCCTTTTGTGTTGTTTCCCTGCCAGGGAGATTGTGAGTGCGAAAGAGAAGAACAAATACAAGTTCGCACCAGCTGCGTTGCCTCTGGAGTTCAGTTCCTTTTTTGAAGGTACGCCTGGCAGCCTCACTAAATTTCTCTCTTTCTCTCTTCCCCACCCTGCAAAAAAATCCCCTTTGCTGCCTTTTCCTTCTTTCTATTCTTAATTGCTTTTTAATTAATCACCAAAAGAAGAGCAGAGCACACGGCGATTGTCAAAGAAGAGGAGGAAAACAGGTGATATTCTAGTAGTTAAAACGAGTCGATATAGAATTGTTATAGACACACCTGCTGTTTTCTTCCTTTCAATTCTTTAAAATCAATGGAGTATTATTTAATTAAAATTAATCGTGGATTAATTGCTTTTTTATTAAGTAAGAAAACATGAGTAAAATGCAGAATGCAGCAGTGAGACATCTATTGTCAAAGAGAAGAAGAAAACAAAACAGATCTCCAAGGGGCTTTAACCCCAAAAAAGAAAGTTTTATAACTGTATTTGATTAATATATGTAACATACTCGTTAGGCAAGCATATACAGTTAGTCCTTGATTTATGAGCCCAGATTTTCCGTTGCTAAGTGAAACATTTGTTAAGTGAGTTTTGTCTCATTTTACAACCTTTCTTGCCACAGTTGTTAAGCGAATCCTTGCAGTTGTTAAGTGAGTCACACGGTCATTAAGTGAAGCTGTCTTTCCCCCCTTGTCTTGCTGTGTCAGAAAGTCACCAAAGAGGGTCATGTGACCCCGGGAAACGGCAACCGTCATAAATACGAGTCAGTTGCAAAGTTTATGAATTTCGATCACATGGCCAAGGGGACGCTGCAGCGGTCATAAGTGTGAAAAACAGTGTGTGTTTTTTTCCCTCTCTCGTTGCTTTAAATTTATTCTCTTAAATTTAAATTTTAAATTCATTTTTAAGTTAGATTTTAAACTCAGTTATAAAATTTAATGTAAAAATTAAAATTTGCATCAAAACCCAGGCAATCAGGACAGGTTAGCAGAATTTATCTACGCAAGAAATCTTTCCAGCCAACAGCATCTCTCCCCGCCTCATTAAACACACACACACACACAAAGTCACAAACACACAAATGCAGTGGGGAGCAGATTTCCAGAAACCGTTGGTGCTTTTAATATTAATTATTTGCCTGTTAGGGATTTCAGGGACTTTTCTTAACTGAAAAACCCCTTGAAGAGATGCGCTTTCGCTGCATTTTTTTCCCTATGTCTCATCTAGAGACTCACAATCATGGTTTCTTCTTAGCTTAGGCAGGGTGAACCCCTCCAAACCAGCTTTCTTGGTTAATTGGTGTACACCAGCTAATATATATGTATATGTATATATATGTATGTATGTATGTATATGTATATGTATAGATGTGTGTGTGTGTGTGTGTGTGTGTGTGTGTGTGTGTGTGTGTGTGTGGCATTCAGCTTTGTTCGGGTATTTTCCCACGTCATTGTAGTTGTGCTTTTAAAGTTGTAGCAACATTTCGGCAGAATCTCATCTGCCATCATCAGGCTTCTGTATTGTGTTCATTGAACAAAATACGAACAGACGAACACTATACAGAAGCCTGATGATGGCAGATGAGATTCTGCCGAAACGTTGCTACAACTTTAAAGGCACAACTACAATGACGTGGGAAAATACCCGAACAAAGCTGAATGCCATACATGTAAGTACCCGCGAAAACTTAAGAATATGTATATATATAATCCTCAAGTTACCACCATCCATTTAGCAACCATTCAAAGTTGCAACAACATTGCAAAAAGAGACTTATGACCATTTTTCACACTTAACAACCGTTGCAGCGCACGCACACACACAGACACCAGTGGTCACCTGATTAAAATTCAGACGCTTGGCTACTGACTCATACTTATCACGGCTGTGGCGCGAACCCCTTTTGCATCCGTCTGACCAGCAAAGTCAACGGGGAAGCCAGATTCACTTAGCAACCGTGTGACTGACTTAACGACTGCTGGGATTTGCTTAACAACTGCAGCAAGAAAGGTCATAAAATGGGGCAAAACTCACTTAAAACCTGTCTCGCTTAGCAACATAATTTTTTGGCTCGATCGTGGTTATAAATCGAGGAGTACCTGTATTTAGGGAATTTTAAGATTTCTTTTTCCTTACGGTCACTGACCAGAATTGTAAACAAAAACAAATTTAAAATAGAAGTAAAGTACAGCTAGTCCTCAGCTTATGACCGTTGTGGAGCCTGCCCATTATGGACGTAAGTCGGGGTGAATGTAAATGCTCTGTTTCTGGACCGTGGCAACTTTAAGGTGTGTGGATTTCAATTCCCAGAATTCCCTGTGCAGCCGTATCTTCCTCCCTCTTAAAGCACGCCGGCCTGGGGGATTCTGGGAGTGGAGGTCCTCCCCTCTTAAAAATAGCCAACATTGAGAAATACTGCATTTCACTTGAACCATTCCGTCAAGGTGGCTGGAGGTGGGTGTTTAATTATTTAATTGATTGATTTGTTTTTTTCCTATCTTGCTAGAATGCTTCGAAACGGACCGAGAGCTCCCAGAATGCCTCCAGTTGCGGCTAATCCACCTTTTGGGGGCTATTCTCTCTGGATCCAAGGTAAAGTCTTTGAACTTTTGCATTTAAAAGCCTTCCGGGAAGAGAATCACCGAATTCTAGGGATTTATAACCATGATCTAGAGGTCATCCAGTCCAACCCTCTGTTCGGTACTGGGTCCCAAAGCAAAGTCATTGGGTGAGGCTGGATTTGTTTAATGACTGCACCATTTCCTTTAACAACGGCCCTGATTACCTCATCGAAAAACGTTGCCAAACATGGGTGGGACTCACTTAACAACTTGCCTTGCTTGAGAATGGAAAATCTGGTTCCCGTTGTGGTCATAAGTCAAGGATCACCTGTGAGGAGTGGGATGAGAGGAGGACAGTGCAGAGGTCTAACTAGAGAAGGATTCACTGCGGCTTTAGCTCTTAAAGAGATATACAGAGGGATGAAACACCCAAGAGGTGACCAAGGCCATCCCTTGGCCCATGTTCCACAGCCTGCATGGAGTATGTATCAGCTCTACAGAGAGATGAGGCAATGTGTGTGTGTGTGTGTGTGTGTGTGTGTGTTTTACATTTTTGCGGGTATTTATATGTATGGTATTTAGGTTTCTTCGGGTATTTTCCCACGTCTTAATATTTGTGCTTTTATTATAGTGACATTTCGGCAAAATCAAATCTGCCATCCTCAGGCTGGTGTATTGGGCTCTTTTTAATCTTGTGTGTATGTTTACTTATTAGCTTTTCCGCTTCCCTTTTCCATAACTCTTTGCATACAAGAGACACCAAGTCCCATGGTTCTCAGCCAAGAAGCCAACCGCTGTGCTGTTTGTGAATTGGGAGGTTTGTCGCTGAGCATCATGGGAGAAAGCCTGTCCTTGAGGTACAGGTAGTCTTCAACTTATGACCAAGATTGAGCCCAAAATTAAAACCCCAAAATTTCCCTTGCTTCATGAGTTTTGTCCCATTTTACAACCTTTTTGGTTGTTAAGCGAATTTCTGCCTTTGTTAAAGGAATCATGTGGTCGTTCGACGAATCCGTCTCCTCCATTGCTTATCAGAAGATAGCTATGTGCCGTTGTTGAATAAAACGTGGTCCCCTTGGCTTTGCTTGGTCACAAATGGCAATCACGGATTAGAACTATCATAAGTACATGCCAGTTGCCAAGCCTCCTAATTTTAAATCACGTAGCTGTGGAGATGCTGAAAAGGACGTAACTGTGAGAAAACGGTCATAAGTCTCTTTTTCCAGTGCTGTTGTAACTTGACAGTCAGTGGTTGACAGTCAGCCCCCAACAATTTGGGTCCTCATTTGACCCACCTCGGAAAGATGGAAGGCTGAGTTAACCTTGAGCCTGGTGGGATTCGAACTCTTGGTAGTGGGCAGAGTTAGCCTGCAATACTGCATTCTAACAGGAATGAAGGAAGGAGGGAGGGAGGGAGTGGAAGGAAGGAAGGAAGGAAAGAAGGAAGGAAGGAAGGAAGGAAGGAAGGAAGGAAGGAAGGAAGGAAGGAAGGACAGAGTGGGAAGGAAGGAAGGAAGGAAAGAAGGAAGGAAAGATGAAAGGAAGGAAGGAGGGAAGAACAGAATGGGAAGGAAGGAAAGAAGGAAGGAAGGAAGGAAGGAAGGACAGAGTGGGAAGGAAGGAGTGGGAGGGAAGGAAGGAAGGACAGAGTGGGAAGGAAAGAAGGAGGGGAAGGAAGGAAGGAGTGGAAGGGGAGGAAGGAAGGAAGGACAGAGTGGGAGAGAAGGAAGGAAAGAAGGAAGGAAGGAAGGAAGGAAGGAAGGAAGGAAGGACAAAGTGGGAAAGAAGGAAGGAAAGAAGGAAGGCTGGCTTTCGACGTCTGAAGAATGGAAGGCTGAGTCAACCTTGAGCCTGGTGAGATTCGAACTGCCAAATTGCAGTCCCCGGCATTCAGCAGAAGGAGCCTGCAGTACTGCACTCTGACCACTGGGGCTTCCTAACCATGCCTGTCTTTTCCCCCTCCTCCTCCTCCTTCGTAGCAAAACGCTCTCCAGATGACCACCCCATCGGTGGTTGAGGGGCTGATGCTGGTCCTCAGGAGGTGGTGCCTTCCGGCCAGTGGTCCCACCAAGGACCCCCAGTTGCTGCAGATGACCCTCAAGAGCGTGGTGTCCATGGTGCACGTCCTCCACACCAGCAGCCCCGGCCAACGAGCCGTGGAGATCCGAGCCATCTTGGAGAGCTTCTTCAAGGTCCTGAACGCCGACCAACCCTTGGCCTCGCTGGAAGGATCGCCTGGGCCTCACTGGGAGGAGAAGTTGATCACCCTGCGGGTGAACATGCTGGGTAAGGGGGAAGAATCGGGGCGGGGGTGTCTCCTGGACTGGAGGAAGAGGAGGAGGGGGAGGAGGAGGAGGAGGAGGAGAGGAGGAGAACGTCTGCTGGGCCTACGGGGCCCTCAGCGAAGGTGTCAGGTGCCAAGGATGCCCGTGGGATGAGACGAGAATGTCTGCAGGCCAGGATTGAACTGGGCTCTCTGAGCTTGGGGTTTTTTTTCTTGCAGACATTTCATGACCCAAATAGGGAACATCATCAGTGTAAAAGGAACAGCATAGAAACGGACAGCAAACCTTCCTTCCCTTCTAGCATTGATGGTGTTCTCTAGTTGGGTCATGAGATGTCTACAAGAAAAGAGCCAAGTTCAGAGAGCACCCAGGACTCCACTGTTCTCCTCCTCCTCCCCCTCCTCCTCCTCCTCCTC